TTAGTATACGCCTATAATAGATTCTGTCTTTAACACATTTGCAGAACAGCGATTTTTTGTCATATCTTAGTTTCTATGTTTCGCTATTTCAGGTTCACGGTAAGTATATGACGTTTAGGTACAAACATACAAATACTGACGCTACGACCGTATTTATGATATGCGACAACACTTAAAGCAATTAGGTTAGCTTGTTCACTGATAACGGTAACCGTCATTGCACTATCAATAAAACAAGAATATTTCCTTCCTTGTTTTTGTAATTTTTAATTCCCTGTGGAAATTTGTAAATGAAGTCTAAATAATGAAAGATATTTAATTTGAAAAATGCTTTAATATACGCTAATATCATTCCAAAAAGGAAGCATAACCTTTTTGAAAAATGCTCCATGGTAGACACCGTGTCATGTGTTTATAGTGAAAACGTTACAATTGTTAGTCTCTAGGCATTGCATGCGTAACACTGAGGAATGTCACTGAAGGGGACGGGGCGATTGCAACAGAAATGGATTGTCTACAGTCCTAGTAAAGGGTTACTATTAATTAGAATACCAGTGTTACTCTTGATGTAAAATGGTAAATGCGACTTTGTGTGATCACATGTTACTGCACGACTGTGTGTTGATCACATGTTACTGCACGACTTTGTGTGATCACATGTTACTGCACGATGGATTCTTTTTCTATGTCCAACATTTTCATATACAATAATACAACACTAGTGTAAATACTGGCGGGTATATACCACCGAAACATAGTTTTTATCATCGATTTAACAAAAGATTATATAAAACATTCAAAGCTCTGCCTCCTTTTTTTACATGTAGTAAGACATCTGAAACTCATTTTATGGTTTGTTTGAGTTATCTTCCTTGACTCGTGATTTTGGCACTGCAGTTTTACGTTTTTGGTAGATCATTTCATCCAGATCTTATGTCGATAACAGCCTGCTGTCATCTTGATTGAATCACTATATGCAGTCGAGTAAGGAACACACTGGCAAATCATGAGACCGCCCACGTGCCTAACTAAACACTAGATAATGAGACCGCCCAAGTGCCTCACTAAACACTAGATAATGAGACCGCCCAAGTTCCTCACTAAACACTAAATCATGAGACCGCCCACGTGCCTCACTAAACACTAGATAATGAGACCGCCCAAGTTCCTCACTAAACACATAATCATGAGACCGCCCAAGTGCCTCACTAAACACTAGATAATGAGACCGCCCAAGTTCCGCACTAACCACTAAATCATGAGACCGCCCAAGTTCCTAACTAAACACTAAATCATGAGACCGCCCAATTTCCTAACTAAACACAAATCATGAGACCGCCCAAATTCCTCACTAAACACTAAATCATGAGACCGCACAAGTTCCTCTCTCAACAATAAATCATGAGACCGCACAAGTTCCTCACTAAACACAAATCATGAGACCGGCCAAGTTCCTCACTAAACATTAAATCATGAGACCGCCCAAGTTCCTCACTAAACATTAAATCATGAGACCGCCCAAGTTCCCCACTAAACAGTAAATCATGAGACCGCCCGAGTTCCTCACTAAACACTAAATCATGAGACCGCGCAAGTTCCTCACTAAACACTAAATCATGAGACCGCCCAAGTTCCGCACTAAACACTTAAACATGAGACCGCCCAAGTTCCGCACTAAACACAAATCATGACCGCGCAAGTTCCTCACTAAACACAAATCATGAGACCGCCCGAGTTCCTAACTAAACACTAAATCATGAGACCGCCTAAGTTCCTCACTAAACACTAAATCATTAGACCGCCCAAGTTCCGCACTAAACACTTAAACATGAGAACGCCCAAGTTCCGCACTAAACACAAATCATGAGACCGCACAAGTTCCTCACTAAACACTAAATCATTAGACCGCCCAAGTTCCGCACTAACCACTAAATCATGAGACCGCCCAAGTTCCGCACTAAACACAAATCATGAGACCGCCCAAGTTCTTCACCAAACACTAAATCATGAGACCGCCCAAGTTCTTCACCAAACACCAAATCATGAGACCGCCCAAGTTCCTCACTAAACACAAATCATGAGACCGCCCAAGTTCCTCACTAAACGCTAAATCATGAGACCGCCCAAGTTCCTCACTAAACACTAAATCATGAGACCGCCCAAGTTCCTCACCAAACACTAAATCATGAGACCGCCCAAGCTCCGCACTAAACACTAAATGCAGAGGTCACATAAGATACATGGAATCTGACGACTTGATCAAATCCCTTGCATGTGGACTGTTACTCACAAAAAATATCAATCAAACCAACTATAAGAGAAAATACTGTTCGTCAAAGAAGGGTGGGAGTACAAAATTTAATTGTTTTAATCACAATGGTTGATTAATAATTAGCCAATCAACCATCACTAGTGCATTTAAATGATAATGTTTCCTTACCCGTTACTCGGGTATTTCAATGATTGTTTACTTACCCGTTACTAGGGTGTTTCAATGATTGTTTCCTTTCAATGATTGTTTCCATAATCGTTACTACGGTGTTTCAATGATTGTTACTAACCGGTTACTAGGGTGTTTAAATGATTGTTTACTAACCAGTTACTAGGGTATTTTAATGTTTGTTTACTAACCAGTTACTAGGGTGTTTCAATGATTGTTACTAACCGGTTACTAGGGTGTTTAAATGATTGTTACTAACCGGTCACTAGGGTGTTTAAATGATTGTTTACCTACCCGTTACTAGGGTATTTAAATGATTGTTTACTTACCCGTTACTAGGGTGTTTCAATGATTATTTACTCACCCGTTACAAGGGTATTTAAATGATTGTCTACTTACCCGTTACTAGAGTGTTTCAATGATTGTTCACTTACCCGTTACTAGGATGTTTCAATGATTGTTTACTTACCCGTTACAAGAGTGTTTCAATGATTGTTCACTTACCCGTTACTAGCATGTTTCAATGATTGTTTACTTACCCGTTACTATGATGTTTCAATGATTGTTTCCTTAACCGTTACTAAGGTATTTCAATGATTGTTTCCTTTCAATGATTGTTTCCTTAACCGTTACTAGGGTGTTTAAATGATTGTTACTAACCGGTTTCTAGGGTGTTTAAATGATTGTTTACTAACCAGTTACTAGGGTGTTAAAATGATTGTTTACTAACCAGTTACTAGGGTGTTTAAATGATTGTTACTAACCGGTTACTAGGGTGTTTAAATGGTTGTTACTAACCGGTTACTAGGGTGTTTAAATGATTGTTTACCTACCCGTAACTAGGGTATTTACATGCTTATTTACTTACCCGTTACTAGGGTATTTCAATGATTGTTTACTTAACCGTTACTAGAGCGTTTACACGATAATGCTTGCTTACCCGTTACTAGGGTGTTTTAAATATCATTATGTCTAATTAGATTTACGAAATATCATAGAGATATCCAGCTTTTAATATCGTTGAAAACTGTTTCAAACCTTGGATACCGTTGTAAATATCTCCCAGTATTTCCTTGTGTATCGGGGATGTGTCTTGAATGCAAGAGCACTTGTGTGTATATATAAATATTGTTTGTATTAAGTTCCCTCATCAGCGCACATGATGGTACCTGTTAACTACTGCAGATATAACACAATTATCTTTACAAACCAACTGGTTCTTTCAAAGAACCGAGCAGGAAAACTTACATCCCAACTGCTTATTCAGGGAACCTCACTTCAACATTTCTATTTTAAGGAAGCTTACATCTAAACTGTTCTATGAATGAACCCATAAATTACATTCACTATTTCACTGTTTAGGCTGATAGCTCCTCGAGGTTACATTTTTGCTTTATTTGTGGTCAAATACGCGAATTGCAAACCTCATACATTCGTGGCTGGTCATAAAGAGATCGTTAGTATCATGACTTTCAACGTTCCAAGATGTACCCTGGGGGATCTTATCGCGATAGAGAAAATATCTCCCTCTAACTTTCTTGCGTGATGTTTGAGACACTTTAAAAGCAAAAGCCGCCGCTTCCATGAATTTATTTTGCCTCGCATGGTTTGTAATGTACCCAAATTTCATATTCAAAGTTATAAAAAATTGTATCTGGTAAAGTACGATAACATCATTCGTAGCTTGCATGTTATTGTTGTCTATGTTAATCGATAAACTAGAATACAGAGTTTGAATAATTGACGTTTCAAGGTTATTTTGTAACGTGGTTTGTTTTGTTTCTAACACGGTAGCAAGGCACCGGTAATAACAAAGCGCGTAACTAAGTTCTGTCCCACTTCACTATCTCTATAAACATGTAACACAACAAACACTGCTGCTGACACGTACTGTGTAGAAGCCGTGACGGATTGGTTTTTACTCAAATTTCGAATTTGCTTAGTTTCAAAATATTTCCTAATAAATTTATAGGAATTAGCAATGCTGACGCATCTAGTGCGAGCTTCTTTATTGCTTAACTACTTAGAATGTATAAATATGAAATAATTATCTCCTTATCAGGTGTCTGAATCAACTCCATAAATTCATGTATGTTACATGTTTGTTTTTCCTTTTTGGCATCCTTTATTTATAAAAAAAATATGGTAAAGGTTGACTCATCTTTGTGTTGGTGTGTATCATGTTCATCTTTGATGAAATATGGCGAATTAAGAAAACATCAGAAAATATTAGGAAAAGACTCTAAATGATTGCTATTTAATATTCCGTTTGTTTAGCCTGGTACATGCAACGGTAAATTATATGTCTGTAGTGTAACTCATTATATTGATTGCAAATGTTATCAAATTACATTATTTAAGACGGTAAAATTACGCCAATACAAAATTCAACAAATACAACGGCACTTTCTTAGTTTTTAGCTAGCATGTCCTGAAGTATAATTAGAATCATATATAGTTATCGGAAATTTTGTCACATCATGCAGAACGAAAGCGTCAAAACATCAATGAATAATGTATTGATAATGACGTTAGCATTTTGGAGACAACTCTTCTCACTAACAACATTGTAACCCAACAACAACAACAGAACGTGACGGGAACATTGTTACGCCAGGCGGTTGTGTCACATTGAAGTGGGTACTTGTGACCCACACCAAGAAAGAACGCGCCAGGCACGCACGCCATCTCACCAGAAGGTTGGGACACATCTAAGCGGATATTTATTAGTTCATTCCTTCACAACATTTCTGAAAAGGATAAAAAAAATGCAGAAACATAGTGTGTTTGTTTGGGCAGCCATTGTACTGTCCGTCATCGCGTTGCTGCTCCAGTTCTTGGCAGTGTGTCTACCTCATTGGCAATGGTACGACAACATGCCCTCTGTCCCTGGAGGCATTCTACATGGACTGTTTTCCATGTGTGCAATGATGGGCGATGGCGGCACAATATGTCGAATGCATAACACTATCCCAGGTAAGGCATGGAACTAAGTATTGATATATGAATACACCTGTAAGTTGGGGTATATCTATATGTTGGTACTAAAGAGGTCTTCAGTGATAATTACCACTGATCTTAACCTTCACTCACACTTATGCGGTGCTCTCCATAAATAGTTCAGCAATCCGTTAAGACCAGATGGTGTGGTAAAATCTCTATTTAGTGTTACGATATACAAACTGTACCCAAGGTATAAAGTTACAAGTTAGATATATTCAACAAAGTATTGATTGAAAAAGACCATGCTATTACAATGCGCGACGGATGATACACTGCTGATCGCTGTTCATCCAGCAATAGGGGTCGGTGGTGGGCGGTTGTCGGGTTTGGGGGTGGGGGGTGGGGGGTAGCCACGTTGTTAACACATATGGCATCTATGATCAACAGCCTACCACCATTTGGTCTCGGGTTCGAGTGGCAGTTACCAGGTACTAACCACAGGTCGGTGGTTTATCCACGCGTACTCCTGTTGTCATCAACCACTAAAACCTAGCTAGTCCTTAAATGACCATAGGTGTGCTAATAGAAATCATCCAGCATGACTTGGTGTAGTAAACACAAATACAAATTAATCGTTATATATCTTTTGTTAAGCCTGGCTGGATATTGTTGGAATAATGAAAAGGTAATCGTTGTTTATCTTCCATGGCTGGATGTGGTCGGGATGAACGTTATGATCATAGTAGGTTAACATTATATATATCTTTGCTTCAGCATATGGTGATACAAGGTTTAATGGTAAGGCTTCTTTGTGGTTAACGTCCTAGGAAAGCCTTATGTAGGCCTCAAACCTGCGACCAAGGGCTAGATAGCTAGTGATCGTAAACGGTTCGACACTTTAACAATAAAATGGTAGCTGTTACGATACGATATTTGTTGTGCATATCATTTCTAAGCATGTCCGAATTTATTGGCGTTAATTTATGGTTAATCGTTGTATATATGTATACCTTTTCCAGCCTGGCTGAATGTGGTGAGGACGTTTGAGATGTTTGGATTAGTGTTGCTGTTCATTGTGGCTGTTCTGCTTACCCTCTACCTTCTACTGTTACAATGGAAAGTCGTGGTTCACGTGATCTTCATTGTCACACTCTTCGTGATTGGTGAGTCAAACACATCACGCGGACATGTTACCTTTTGAATACCTCTCTATAGTACGTTTATACTTCAACAGACACGGTAATCGGTTTTACAAATGATGATACTGGACACGGACATATTTAAGCGCATTTAAATTTCAGCGCATTGGCGGATTTTATTATATCAGCACACCCACAAAAGAACATGCAACCTGCAACAAAACAAAAATATATAGGAACTTCAATACGCGCAAAATTAGTTTAGTGCTGTAGTTACAACTCGAAAAGCAATAAAATAGGTCTTCCGCTAAAATATGTACGTTTACTGTATTCATTCAGAAAAAACCCAAATGCAAATACTAAAGAGAAACGCATCTGTTCAAATTTGCTAGGATACTCAACATACCACCTTTTTATATATGTATTCTTGTAATATACATTATAACGGACAAAATAAGACTTACAAAACGCTCTTATTAATAACACATTTACTCTCAAAAGATTTTTGTGCTAAATTCATGATATCAAATGCAATAAAAATATGAAGATTCAATAGTTAATTTCTACCAGGAGGGACCAGACCTATTTGATTTATCTTTACTCTATAATTTTCGATGTTCTTTATTTCGCTACCATGAACGATACACATCGTCCAGTTCGTTTTGATAGCATTCGTTTACTTCCAGTGTTCTTCCTCCTGATTGGAGTGTCTGTATATGGACACAATGCGGACGCAGATCATCTACACGTCGGATATGCCTTTGCTGTGATTGCCGCTATCGTAACTGCAGTCCCCGCGATACTGCTCATTGTGATGTGTAGTTGCCGACGGGAGAAAACCTTCTGGGTAGATCAGGAACATGCAGAGACATATGATAGAGCGTATAATGCCACCGAAATGCACTCCAGCACATCTAGAAGATCGTCGAAAGTTGAACCTGTCAACGACAGTCAGCAACAAAGGGCAGAATCCAGACAGTCACAAGCGGACAACGGCCAGGCAAAGGAACTACTAGAGTAAAACGGATTTGATGGAGGACAACCTGGAAACCATCATTTATGTTTTATCCTAGCTGTAGATACAATTGTACTGTTTTTCCTGTCCGTGTTGTCAGAAACCCTGTTTACATCAGCTGCTGTGGAAGCAACGATACACGGAGAACCATGAAGTTGTCCTGTCGAAAGTCGACTTCCTTATTCCTGGCCCATGTGGACTGCCTGCTGGACCTTGGTGAACGACGGGGACAGGGTAACACCAGGGCAATTATTTCTGCTTTTCTCTCTATAGAAAGACGGGTATCACCAAAATATGATAAATGCCGAGTACTTATACCTGGCCAATACATTGTACATACATTTAGTATAGCATGTCGAAAGATGCTTTTGTAGCTAAGTATGTTTTTATATAATTTCATACACGTCTAGCTGTGATATGTATATATACCGTATTCCTGTCTTATCAAATAAATTTGTGAATTTTAAAGCGTACATTCTTGTGTATCCGTTTTTTCTTGCATATGTTTGAAATTCGCTGACAACCGAATGGTAATGTCAGGAATGTGAACTGTTAAGAGTATGTCATTTGACCATACACACAGGCAATGCTTTAGTCGGTCGGTATCGGAAAGCAACACCACGGGGAATTATTTCTTTATAGGTAATACCATTTCCTATCGTAACAAAACGTAACTCTCCTGTCTGTTGGACAGGCCATTATTTATCTGCTTCACAATATTGACTGACTACCCGTCCAGAACACATGGCCCGCATTCTTGAAACCGTTCTCATGCTCACGCATGGATTTTGTGCTCACCCCAGCATTCTTGTAACTCACTTAAATCATGTCAAACGATCAAATAGTCAAATGAAAATATTAAAAACTGTTTTCAGCTTTAAGTTTTATCAAAGTATTTTCGATTCATTGACAAAATAAGATTGTATTATTAAGTTATAACCGCAACAAGAAATAAGACTTGAGCACAAGATCTATGCCTGAGCACGAGAACGGTTTCATGAATACAGGCCCTGGTCTTATTCTCCTTGCATGCAAGGGTCTCCACCTAAATCGTTCAAGGTATGGTTTTTTGAAACTTCGGTTTTCTTGTTTATGTTGCATGTAACAAAGGTAGAGTTATTAAATTAGCAAAAATGGTGACGTTGATTGTTATTTAATGAGGTCATGATTAAAAATAATCTGTCTACCAAAGATGACGATTAAACATAATGTTGGAACCAACAGGCCTCAGACTAACAGAGATTCTTGTTAAGGATATATTACTGAGTATATCGCAAAATGTTTCTTACCAGCAATATGAAGTACAGTGTAATTAATTCAACTTAAAAGGGACACAAAAAGACAATAGGAGACTTCAGAAAAAAAGAAAAATACATTATAACCTGAACATAAAACCACAATGTTCCTGAAGGTTAGGATCGACCTGTCATGTAGCACCTGCTATCATATAGTTAACGTCAAGTGCATTAAGATAATCATGTAATTACATAATTGCGATCTTATCTCACACTGTTCGTACTGTTACTGTCGGCCGATCTAAGCATCAGTACGTACATGTCACGGTACGTTGGAGGTGTGTTGACTACAATCGATCACGTAATGTTTAATTTATACTGGTAACTAGTGTTAGGGATCATTGTTTACGTGGTCGGGCGTACTATAATTAAAACATGCTCCACAACGCCAATGAAATAGGACAGATACTACAGCAATGGCCTGACTGTGTAGTGTAGGTGGTAAGTAAGGTTAAACACTGTCTGTAGTGAACTGAAAAACTTGATGTATGTTCATATTTGTGCAGTGAGACAACTTTTGCATGCCATAAAACAGAGAAATAATATGTGAAAGGGAGTTTCAATAATTATTTTTACGTCACGCGATACACAGCTATGCACGTGACACATGTAGCCGTGTGTGTATTGCGACAGTCTGTTACTGACATGTGCTAATATCAATGTTAAGTATTTAAGATTATAGGAGAAATCAATGCATAAGAGAATTAATTATTTCGTTTTCTTAGTAAACAAATTAGAACAAATTACAACAGAATTGTAATAGCCCTGGCATTCTGGACATTCCGCCATCTACAGCATCGTCAATAATCAACAAAAACGGAAAAAATTGAGGTGTACGATATTGAAGACGAAAAGGAATTGGTAAAATAAATGAAGATTTGATATAGTAAGTGTTTGTAAAATTTACTCAACGGGAAGCTAATATACAAGAGTTCTGAATAAAAAGAAAGTATATGATTAATTGATCTTTCAGCAAAATAAACGAATTTTATAAATAAACCAAATTAGAAGGAAAAAAAACCGGAAAATAACGCGACTAAGGTTAATTCAAGGCAAATGAGGTGTTAATTGACATTTCTGAAATTTTAACGAGCCAGCATCTTTTTACAAAAGAAAATGCATGGATTCTGATATGTACAAAATCTTTACTGACAAAAGCAATCGGTTTTCGGAGAACCCAACAGGATTGACAAAGAAAAAACCATAAGTAATCAGAAAAGGTTTAACAGCGTTTGATTTTAAATTGCTGACATGGTCAACCTATTGGAAAGAAAAATGTTCTGTTACACAGTACTACTGAAAAAAGAAAATCAACGGTCTTAAAATTTAGGGTTGTTTCACAGTTTACTAGTGATGAGACCATTATTGTCATATGGTATGTAAATTAAATGTTTCTTTAGTAATAAGACCGTTATTGTCATACTGCAGGTGAATATCATAGAGCTAGATACTGGTGAGACCATTAATATTGTAGATACAAACTGGTGTATTATAACGGTGTTGGGTACAACAGAAAAACCCGACGTCAGCTACCTAGGGTCATGTTTTCATCTTTTTATTTACTTTGAACTCAAATACACCTAAGAAAATGCAACCGATGTATTTATGTCAGTCCAGTAGGAACCGGGTCACGGGAATTATATATTCTGTAAGACGTCTCTTCATCACTTAATTGTCCACTTTATATAATTTCATTAATACAGCACGTGAAACGTCACTGTAATACTACAGGTAAATCACGTGGACTATAACCGAGATATGGCTATTGATGTCATGCTGTACGTTAATGACACAACGTGATTTAACATCATAATATCATACTGTAGCTAACGCCAATTTATAAACCCGAAAAAGAAGAAAATGTAGTGAGTTTTAATCGCGGATAAAAGAAATGCAAAGATTTATATCAATAACAAAACGTAAAAACAGAATGTTTGGTGCATCGTTTCTGATCTTTCCTTGGTTTTTTTTTGTCACGCTCTTGAGTCTTTAGAAGGAAATAGAATTAGATTGGAAAGAGAATAATAACACCTTATACGCCTTATGAAATATTCCTCCACCAATTCATTTTGTTGTCGACTAAATAGTTGATCCAAGATTCATTCTTCGTGTGTCTTTTCTTGCTAGCAGAAGCTCCAGTTCGAATTAAAAAACTGAAACGAAGATGCGAAAACAAAAGACATCCAAGCTGTAATAAAAATTGATATTCCCGTATCAGAAATCAAACTACATTTTTTTTCTATTAATACAGGCTATCAGTACCGCTTTATACACATCTTCCATATGTATAAAAAAGACGCACTAAGCAGGAGATATTCTATATAGAACAAGTATTGATAACAACGAATAGCGCTTTCTAGTGATTCCAATGACCTCTTGAATGATGTTAGGTACTCGTTTCCGATTCTTTCGATTTTTGTTATTTCTTTCTTAGATAAAAACCTATATACGATTGTTACGGTGCAATTGTAATCGGTGTAATAAATAAGGATGATATGGACAAAATAATTTGTGAAAATATGTTGTAGTTTATTTGACGATGGTTAAAGTAAACTATAATTAACTTGGGCATTAAATGTGTGTGCTTAGGGCTGATATATGGTGAGGTTTTATCAGATCGACGATACAGTGTTACTACTGTATGGTGGCTGTAACTTAGGGCTGATATATGGTGAAGTTTTATCAGATCGACGATACAGTGTATAAGACCATTAATGTTCCGAAAGGTTTAGCTTTTGTTTTTTTCGTTTAGCGTTGCTGAACGTTAAGCTTGAAATAGCAACCACCACGTCCAAGGACTTTGTTATGTCTCGGCATGGGGGCACTACCCAATGCCTTTCCCACCTGGGCGAACCCTGAACAGTAAAGCCAAAAGTGAGGTGCTGTCAAGTAAGGCGTTAGGAAATCACCTAATAAGGTAGTAGGAAGTAAACAGACAATAAATATTAAAAGAGTGCAGCAGATTTATTTTGGTCGCTTTTATGTCCCCAAATTGAGGGCGCAAAACCAAAACCCTAATTCTGCAAGGGGTTCCAACATTAGTGGCCTCTTATGATACATGCAGTGGGTATACGTAACAGCAGGTGTATTTTTTCTCGATCACTGACCTGCAGGGTGCATAAGATCCGAAAGGGTAAGCGTTTTACCATTTTACTTAACCTATACCTACGGCATACATATATATCATTTAAAACGCAGACAGAAAATTGACAAAATGAAAACAAAAACGAATAATAAAAAAGTCCAGTATCACCAAAATTCGAACATAGAATTACAAAGCCTTATATTGCCACTCTCTAAATAAGATGCAGGGCAATAACTTCTGTGAGGATCAACAGGGTTATCTATCTATAAAGGGGCGCCAATAAGATAATTTAATACAAAGTCCTATTCGTGACAACAGGCGCACACTTTTCTGTGTATAGAACTCAAATATCTTTTTACAGATTAGTACATGCAACTGTTGGAATGAAGTGTCTTGAAATCGATATCTTTTTAATTTAATACACGGTGATTATCGCGGTATCGTGAACTCATCAATAATTTGTCAGTGTAGCCATTTGAGAGAGGCTGTTAAATATATCGAGACAAACACCTATCAATATGCGTCATTTAACATAATTCAAGGTTAAAAGCCGTTAACAGATAGGTCTTGAGGAGGAACAGTTCTCAGCTGGCATTGCAGTAGAGCTGACAGCCCCACATAGGACACACTGATAAGGTAGCAAAGAATATATAACAAATTTGTAACTAAAGTATAAGAAAACACCGAACAATGGAACAGCAGAGACTCTGTGAGTGGGCAGCACTAACTGTGACCATTACTGCACTGCTGATACAGGTGATTGCGGTGTCACTGCCATTTTGGCAATGGATTGATGTATATGAGTACATCACCGTGAATACGACACAATTGTCCCACAGCTACGTGCAAGGACTGTGGACTATCTGTGATTTAGAAAATGGTTATTCAAGTTGCTGGCATCCATCTGAATCAACAGGTAATACAATAGCATAATGCTTTTATATATTTTTTACCATTTGTTAATACATGTACCAGTTTTCTCTTGTTTCAAATCAAGAATATTGTTTTAACACTTGCTGTTATAATAATCCCGTGTTTTAGTGGTATCTTTGAAATTATTTAACAGAAAATTACTACGGTGTATGTGA